CCAGTAATGGTAAAGCCAGAGGTTTGTAAGCTGAAGACTAACATGAATAGTGCAGCTGAAACTGATGTAGTGTGAGATCAACAATAGTTCATACCTTATACCACTTGATTTCCCATTGCATTTGCAATGCAGCGCCTGGAATAAGCCAAGGCCGGTACTGTCCACATCTAGCGGCAAGATGTAAAGCGCTGTTACCTTGGTTGTCCAACTGACGCAACAAGCTTTCTTTTAGTATCTTTCTCTTCCGCAGGAGATTGTAAACATGGGGTTGCCTGTTCTCAACTGCTAACAGTACAACATTCTTGTTATCAGAGTCCACATCCTGGATGGCCACTGGGAACTTGTCTAGGATTGTTTCTACCATTTCTGTCACTCCCATCTTTGCTGCAATTAATATTGGTGTCTGCTTTTTATCTGCTTCACAATTTCCATTCTTCTTATCTCCCAAGGGTTTGTTTTCCTTCCTCTCTTTACCGTTGTTGAGTCCAAGTTCGTAATCATGTGCTGTAGGTTTTCGAAGCCATGTTTGAAGGTGAAAAACTTGTAAAAGATAACACAATATTTCATAGTTATTTTTATACTAATTAGCCATCCCAGTTGCCTACAAGTAGGCTACTGTCCATCTCCAATAAATTTCTGTTCTGTTTTTCAATACAGCACAAACTTCTCGGTTAAAATAAATGACTTCAATGGTATTTAGGAATACCTGATTTCTTCCCTTTAACCTTCCCACGTTTGTTAATGTCAATGAAGCATGCAGTACACAGAAGATGAGTAACTACCAGGCCAAAATAAAAGAGAGGTGTAATTTGTTTACCTGGTTGATTCTGATCACTCTCTATCTGATACTTGTTTTGGTTTGAGGACGACAGTTTTGTTTCAACATTTTTATTTCCACCTTTAGATGGTACATGATCGACTGCTGAAGACGGGGCTTGGTCTAACAAGATAGGATTAGGAACATCACATTCTTCTTTATCTTTGTTTGGTTGATGGGGATTTCGTCCAGTATTTTGGTACTTGTATAAGGAAGTACGCTGAACCAGTTCATTCATGACCTGATTAGCCCATATATGTCGCTCTTTCCTTTCTTGGATTTTCTTTATCTTCCAAATGCCTACATGTCATTCAACAAAAGAACATTAGGAGATGAGGCAACTGTCGTCCATGAGATTTAAATTTTTTCGCTTAGAAGGGTTCTTGGATGGGGAAGTGATGTGGTTTTAAACAAGCTTGCGTGTCTAGCTAGATGACGCAAGCTGTACTAGTTATTGATCAGGGGCTATGAATTAAGTTTGGTACTGACCAATTCCCAGAATAATTAGCATGGCCTTCATCATAAGCTTGAAGAATAGAACTAGTGAGGCGTAATTGGGCGGATACGAATAATTTCTTCTCCCCTGTTCATGTGGTTGGTTTGTACCTGCAAAGAGGCAGAAAAAATAATGCTAAAGTCAAGTCTACTCAGAACAATTGAGATGCCTAAAATGTCATCAGATGATGAAATTAAAAAATTGAACAGTAATCCCCTATATTCATAACTCTAGAAGTTCAGAACTTGCAAGACCTTTTTTTCTTGATTTATTGTCCTAGAAGAAAATGTCATGGAGTTATGAAGCAACAAATTCTTAGAACATATTGAATACCTCAACAAGTTAACAGTGACCATCTTTCTTCATTAAGGAATATTTTTTTCTACCCAAAATAATACAATTTCAGAGAATAATTCACCATAATGTTTAGAAATAAAAAAATTTATATGGCACCTTTTGATTCCGACTTCTTCACTGACGAAGATAATCCTGAAATGCCTCCTGCTGCAGTAGCTCCAATCAGAAATATATCACATTTGACTTGAGTTTTAAATCCGAACAAACAGGTCTTTTACATTTAGTAAGGTTAATGTTAGTCTTTGTCATGAAGGTTATTTATCTATCTTCTTTTTCTTTTCTTTTTTTGACTTCTTTTAATTGTAGGGAATTTTACCATCAGTTGATCTTGAACTCTTTGCATCTGATACTTCTTTTGATTGTAATCTCATTGCAGAAGAGGATGCTTCTGGACTGGCCTCTGCATAGTTGGGCTATTTAATCAACTGAATCTTTAACTTATCATCTTCAAACTTCAACTATAATGTACAAACTGTTCAACTTCATCATCAGGTTGGTTTTTCTTTCTTTCATGATAAAAATTAATTTACTTATTTTTTCATAGGGAACGTCGCCAAGGCAAGACTCAGTGATTAATTTATCACCTGCAGAAAAAATTGTGTCTTCCACAATGGAATCTGATAAGTGATATTTCAACTAAAGATTTCCCATAAAAGGTTATGAGGATTACTTATCACTGAGCTGCTCAGTTGTTGGGGATTCTCTTCATCATCAGCAGCATTTTTCCCAATTTTATTTCCTCCATTAGCTCGGAGTGAGCAAAGCATCCAATTCTGATTTCCCCGTGTGTTTGCTGGAAATCAAGAAACTAAATTAGACTTGTGGTACAAAGGTTTGGGGAAGAAAATACAACATATAAATTTCACAAGATTCACTCACTTAACACTTGAAAGAAACTCCTCAGAACTCCAGCAAAGTTCATGCACGTTTCATAGTTTTCTGGATATTTAGAATTGTTTTGTACTCCTTCGTTGTGCAGACAAGCTTCGTATTTATATGATTCCTCTTTGAGCTCTTCAACAATCAAACCTGACAGAACAAAATTGAAAAGTTCTTGTTAAATCCGAGAACTGAAAATGATGAACAAAAAAGATGGAGTAATTTCTTCTTACAATACCTAGTAAAAATGCAACATATAAATATGATGGCTACACTTTTATGTGTTCTTTAGTTATTTGTGAACATGAAACTGCAAATGCATGTGTTGAATCATAAGTTGAACATGTAGACATTTGAATTGAGTATAAAATCAAATTGGTAAGGTGGAAATTCTTACAATGGTATATAATATTATCAGTCAGTCCAAGGCGACTACTGCTTTTGAATGCACCAGGCTTACTGGCCAGAATATGCAGGGGAGAGAAACCATTTTCATTCATAGAGTTAACAAGTTCCGGGTACAACCGAATAATCTGAAATGCCAAACCTAACAAAAATAGAAATAAGGAATTAAAAGTGGCATTATTTTCATTAATCTAAAATTAAGTACTAATTGTTGAGAGTATTTGTCCCACTTTGAAAAGTTAAGGGACCAAGCCTGGGTTTATAAGGAGTTGGGCTACTCCCCCCATTGCCAATTGGTTTTGGGGTGGAACCTCAACTTTCTTCACTAATTACATGGGGAAATTAAAACCAAAAAAAGAAAAAGAAGAAGAAGATAGATAGCCTGCACTTACTGAAGTATTCACCAGAGATAGCAGCATGGAGAATGGTATCACCATGATTGTCTCTAAAGGAATGGTATTTTTCTTGGCAGTGAGAGTGAAGGCAAAGGAAAGCCTTATTGTGGCCATTAAGAGCTGCCAAGAAGAGAGGGGTCTCACCGTCGACGTTGCGAAGGGAGACAAGGCTGCGATCTTTGGTAACCATGCTTTGACACACTTGGACATAGCCAAGCCTAGCAGCTAGATGGAGAGCTGTGTTGCCTTTCTCATTTCCTATTTTCAATACGTCTGATGCATTTTCTCCATTGGCAATGATGTTCAACAAGTCCAATGCGGTTTTTGTTTGGCCATCAGCAATTGCTATGTGTAGAGCAGTCTCTTTTGATTTGGTTATGTTGGCCTTTCGAGCCTTGGAACAATTTCTGTAGGCCTCCACCACCTTTTCCCACTGGCCTTTCATGGCATTTTCGAACAAGCTATCCACTTCCTCGTATGAAGCCATGGTTGGCCTCTGTCTCTAGTTAGTCAGCACATATATACTGCTATCTGATACACTGTGTTATCATATATGGTTTCGGTTTTGGCTTTTCTAACCACATTTACTTACTATCTTTACTAAATTGTTGACCACCTTTCCTCTCTAGCAGAGGCTGTGGAGAGGTGGTCAGTAAATGAGTAAATGCGGTCAAAATATTTTTATCGGACTTTTGAATTATTAATTCTTATGTTCATAAACCACATATAAACTCAATTAATAAAGAAATTGAGCAATCTGAGCAATTTGGAATATTATCAACTAAGCAATTAAGCAACCTACCACATGCAGTCCAATTCCCTATTTTCCTTGAGAAACAAAAGATTTCCTTGTTATCTCAGTCTACTCTGTACCGTTTTAAAAAAAGGAGGATAAAGTGTAACAAAAAAAATAAAAGGATAAATACCAAATCAAAATTTGCTTAAGATACTTCTTTCCTCTTCAATTCTTTGCCCTTTATTTACTCTGTCACTAGAAACAAATAGTCAAAGGAAATACAAGAAAGCTTCACAGTCTTGGAAAGTGTAGCGGATCAAGCACTGTCCTGGATTACTGCTCCATCGCCATTCTGGTTAATTTAACCTATTTTTCTTCTCCCTCAAGTCATTCTGTTGTCCTATCAAATCCTCGGAGAACAAAACATGTTGACGCTGGCATCGACAAAACACACTTCTTTATTTTTCTTAATTATACTTTAACTGCAGCTTTAAAGTTAAACCGGGTAAGAAAGACAAAAGTTTTTCACGATAACAACTAGCTGTCAAAGTATGTCTCAAACTTCTAGCTAACCATTTCAAGTTGGTTTTCTATTTTCAAAAAGAATAGTTATTAATAGTAAAGTGCCAATTTAGTTATTCCTTGTCCACCACCAAAGAATCACTTTAGAATTTTGTACATTGGTATTAGTCAGTTCTAGAATTTGGCAACCTAGACTCGAAGAAATTGAAGTTCTTTCACAATATGTAAATTGATTGTGCCTAAGAGGGGTAAAACAAAAAGTGTACGGGCATGAGAAGAGATCAAAGTTTGTATGTAAAGAAACTTGAGACCACAAGAATGAAGACTATTTCTCCGAATCTGTTATAGGATGTATCAAAAATAAGATTACATTGTAGCCACAATGGTGCAATCTCATATCTATCAACTGCAATCTTTAGGACTCATTAAAACTAATCCTACATGTTACAAATCGAGTAGTTCGAGATAAGTATAGGGCCGATTACATTGAACCAGTTGTGTCTTTATAACCAGATTTTCTATATAGGTTTGCAACTTTCATACAGGCATACACGCACTTCTCAGTAAGATCTTGATTGCAGAGTAACCCGAACAAGCATTCTAATAGCTGAAGAAGAGAAACTATCCACAGATCCAGAGGACATTCTAGCAAATATGCACTTGAGCACCTTTCTGAAAAGCAGTTGTGTTGCATGTGCCCATCACATGTATGATTGTATCTGAGAAGGGCTGCTCTCACAGATAAATAGGGCATTACCTCTCAAAAAGGATTTCAAATGGACCCTACTTCAATCAACCGGAGTCACTTCAATTGTCTCAACTTCTTTGTCGTATTTAGAATGCTTTGGCTTATCTCTGGGTGTTCCAATTTTAACAGTTTCTCAAGTTGAAGAGCGGCTTCAGGGAAACTATCCTCCTTGATACAAGAAGCTGAACAAAGACCAAAAATAACTTCATTGACGTCTTCTTCAAGCTGTAGGCAGAAAAGATGGCTAAACACCTGAAGAGAGATTAAATTGCAAATCAGAACTACTGCCATATGATTTTCCATACGGGTGTGCAAGAGTACCAAGCACAATACTATGCAAACAATCTAACAGGACAGAAGGAAAAACAAAATTTACTAACAGAGCATTCCAACCAAATTTTTTTAGCAGAGGACATATGAGAATATTACATGTCTTAACACGCTGCATTAACTTGTCACACTCTAGTAGACAATTCTAAACTGATAATTGTGAAAGCAAAGTCTCAAATTTATTTTCAAATTGTATGCACATGTGCATTTATATTTTGCTGCAATTGTGTGAATGGACTTGCCAATATGGTATTTGAATTCCAGTCACTGAAAGGTAAACAAAGTGCGCCTTAGCAACATATGACTAATGACCAAAAAAAAAACCTACTCAAGACCAACAACGGCACCCATCCTTTTTACCACCATCCTAATCCCACTTACTGCGCATTTTTTATTCAAGTGACTGTAAAAGGGAGATTTAAAGCATAGATGGGTCTGTTAGACGAATATCCTGGAGATAACATATAACAGAATTTATATATGAACAATAATGAATATTAGTTTCCTATTCTCACCACTTTCATCCTTGAAATAACACTGTCTTTAATGGCTTGTGATCGTGACACCAAATTAATGATAAATAGACCTTTCTCAGAAAGTGCATCCCTTACAGTCTCAAGAAACGTCTCCTGCACAAAATCTGCTGCAGGACAGGTCATCCCAGAGCTGTACACAAAAATAAACAAATAACTTATTAGAATATGAGGGCCCAGTCTTTAAAATCCGTATTGCTTCTTATATTGATCAATATACTTGTAAAATAGGTGCAGTCTGCATTCACCTCGAGTCTGCAGAATCCACATCAATAATAACTATGTCAACCTTCGAAGACACCTTGCTTTCAACATGTGATTCTAAGCAGCTCCCATTGGAAGAAGGGGGCTCTGTATTACAGTGAGCACCTTCCTTCTCTTGAACTGCAGAAATTTCATCAGCTTCAGCAGAATTTGCAACATTTCTAACAAACTGAATACCATCAGCAATGTGCACCTGATACACCAAAACAAATCTAAAACGTGATAAATATTGAATACATTACAACTTCAGGATGAGAAGGATCTCAAGGTAAGTACAATCTCATTTATAGCTTATGTTTATATCCAGGAGCTTTGTTTACATCTAAGTTCCTTTTCAACGTGCACTCCAAAACAAACAAACAAAAACCACTAAATTCAGCCTCTGTTTTCATGACCAACAAAGGAAAGTAAACCATTCTAGTAAATTATCAGATCAAAACTTTATATAGTTATCCTTCAACCCAACAAAGATGGGAAAGAAAAATATCATTTTTCGCAATGCCATTGCAGCCCCTAATTTAAAGGTGGCATCTTAGGGCTACAGAGTGGGAAGATATTTGCATATAACTAGAAAGTGCAAGTGGAAGAAATAAAGAATTTGGTATATGAGGTTAACATGAAAATTGCAATGCCAACTAGTAGACTAAAAGCACATTAACCAAACAGAGACAAAGGACAAAGGGAAAATCATACCACATCAATAGACACTGACACATAAGAACTGAGTATACTAAAACACTTTGTGCTTCTTTACTCAAGTTTTTTTGGCAACTTGGAACACAGAGTTGCATGTATTCTTTTTCTTAAGAGATTATAATTGTAGCCAAAGAACCATACTCACCTCCACTCAGCCCTACTGCAATCAAAGGGATAAATTACGTTTCTTGCTAGAGGTGACACTAGTTTGCTATGCAGGAATGAAGAACTTGGAATTTCTGTTTACATAATTTTATAGTATGAAAAGAAGCAAACATGAAGTACAGTGAACTACCTGCAAGTGATCATCTTCAACAAAACTGAAGTATTCTTTTGCAAGTTTGAGGACTACAGGATCCAACTCCACCACCTGTAAATATAACGATTAAGTACCACATTCCACTAAATGATTTTATTAAGGAAACTCATCTTCTTTTATTTCTTTTCTTTTTTCTGGGAGATGGCTTAAGCCTAAAATTACCTCAGTGTGCATAAAGGGCATACATCTATGAAGGAACATAGGGAGTAAACCTGCTCCAAGACCAATTACAACTGCTTTGACCTGAGAAAGCATTAGTAGTGTGAAACAAAAGAACCATCAATGTCACAAAAGGAATGACAAGAAAATTCAAATATTTTATATTAGTGCAGACAAATGAATATGCAGCCATTAATAGCTGAACAGGGAAATTGGACAGCTGAGCTTGGACAGGTCAATTTTTCCTACATAAAAAATTCCCCTCATAAATAAAGTCCAACACCGTATATTTAAACATTTTACAGTCAGAACTTGATTGATATTTTTTATTTATTTTATAGAAAATAAAAACTTCATTTTTAAAAAACAACTGAAATACAAAGCGAGATTGACAAGCAAACCACATGTGACAGGCCAACTACAAACACAATAACAAGAAGAAAAACAACAAAAGGAAATCCCCTAAACAGATTAGACAAGAATTCTAAAAGAGAAACAACGGATCTAACTGCCCCACATAAACATCACTTCTTCCTTATTGTAAAAAAAAAAATTGCTTTTTTTTTTTCAATTACGGGTCCAAATAGATGCCAAAACTGCACAATTGCAAATGGGTAACCTCTAGTTCTAACGCCTAGGAAGACCTCACACAGCAAGAAATAGCACTTTCTTGGAGCAACCCACTCCACACAAAAAACAACCAATTGTCTACTCACAAATGAGATGAACAGTGTAAAATAATATTCTAAGCCGATCTACCCTAAACATTAACTGTGCACACCAACGAGGAGAAAAGGAATATAGGACCTCCTTTTGATTCATTTTACCACAAGCCACTGGTGAGAATTTGAACTTAAATAGGTACAACAATCCTAAAAATTATATTATAAGAAACAAAAACAGGATCATGTGGCATGACTAGACTAACTCTTTTGGCAGACCGCATGGAACATACAGAAGTATTCGTAATCCGAGACAACAAACTAGCAAACTCTATGAGTTCCCTATTATTTAGATTCCTTCTAAATGTTTAATTCTTAGAAGTAAGAAAGAGCTAAGGAGGAAACTACAATTGAAACTAAAAGTTTAGCTCTTGTTTCATTTTATCCAAATTTGGAGCATAAAGCGACTAGAAGCTGATCCATTCCTTTCACCACCATGCAAGGCCTTGGCTAAATGCTAGTCAGAATTTACAGTGCTTACCGATTTTTGAGTTGACGCCATGCTTTCCAAATAAGATGAAATCAACATTAACCCAGAAAGAATCCCTGTATGATAAGAACTAGCCAAATACCCATGATAGACCTTCAGCTGGTGGCTCGTTTCTATAAAATAAAAAAGAACACAAAAAATAAGAATCAACACGATAACACAAAGGATAAACTTAACCCAAATTTGAAAACAACGATATTCTTCTACTACACTGATGGAACATGATAAAGAGTTACAAATCTACAGCGAAGTAAACAATAAAAATAAAAATAGAATATCACAAGTATATCAGGACAGTGTTTAGCACTAAAATGTTCATTTAAGAATTTGTATTTGGTTTTCACAAGACCTTAAATTTTTACCAAAAGTGAATAGTATTACTGTTGGGAGTGTTTAAGTTATGCCATCATAAATTCTTTTCATTCTGAACGTGACAGCATCCACCTCATGTGAGAAGCCAAAATCTGTACTGCTATACATAAAGATACATTTACTACTCAATATCAAGCACAACAGTACACCAGGTTCAATGAAAATTTAAAGGTTCTCGAAATGCATGTATATTCACTGTGCTATATTAGTTTGAACTTTTAGTATGAACTGAAAAGGAAAATTCCAGAAGCATTTTTCAGAAGAGTTTGTTTACACTGCATAAGTTTGACTACATCAAAGATTTCAAATATGAATACCGGAGTATTCGTGAAGGGAATTGCCTTACTACCCACTTCTCGGACTGGCCAATTTTTGCATAAATGGGATATGGGAAAAACTATTTCTTATCTTTTGAAATTTGCTTTTGCACTCCACGGTACTTTATTTCATTATACTCACGATAGCAATAAGTACTTTTTACATATATAGTTTTACCATTGTATGTATAATGTTAACAGCCTCAAATTGTCAACTGCAAGTCCACGGGCTCAAATCTCAATAGCTACAAATTTAATTTAACAGAAATTGAAAAAAAATTAGAGAAGGTGGAGATGTTTTGATCTAAAGAGATTTTCATGTTCCGTCAATAGACAACTAACAAGACACTAAAATTATATCATGCATGGAGCAAAACTATCAAGAAGGAAAGAAACACAATTTAAACTATAATGGCAAAGATAGAGATCAATACCACCACTTCTTCTCTGGATTCCTCTTCTTTTAGATTTAGAAGATGAGTTTGTCTTTTTCCTCTCAGTCTCACCAACTTTATTTTTGGATCCTTCCTCAGATAGAAGAGCTTCAGACTGAACCAGACCCTCACTTCTTTGGAAAACAAGGCGACGAAATGTCAAATCTCTGGATGGTAGAATGCGACTGATATCACCATCAACATTTTCATAAATCACATCCTCAACTATAACTGGTCCAGTTATTGTAGATGTGACCTGCATATGCATGCAAGAGAGGACAATAAAAATGCAGAGCATGTTTTCATTTACTTCAGAGTCCAAAGCTACAACATATACATGAATAGCTAGCTTGCTATCTGGGGAACAGTCACCACTAAGCCTAAAGCTACTTTACAAATGACCTTGTTTAGGTGTAGGTTATTGATAAGCTCTGTAAATGATTAAATGCTAATAATAACTACTGAAAATATGTCAAATTCTGTTAAGCTTTGCTTAGATATTAAATTTAGTAACACTTCAAATGGTATCCACATATCATTTATTCATTCCATTTGCATTAAGAACAGACGTAAAAGTAATGAAATTTGCTTAATAATTTCCACGAGCTCTTTCCAATTGTAAATAAGTAAAATTAATGTCCTAATAGTTCATACAAAGTACTCATATGCACAATGAAAATGCTATAACATTTAAAAAGGAAAAGAAAAAGAACCTGGTGAACAATGTTTCTTTGCTTGATCCCATCACTTGCCATCATGAACCTGCAAAAGCAACCAGCCAATATAAACGTATAAGATAAATGCTTTGAGCCATATAGAGTAATTAAAAAAGCGTCATGGAATGAAAAAGATACTTTCTTAAACTTCCGTATTGCAATACCACAAGAGGGCATTGAAAACAGAAAAGAAATTAGTTATATTAACTTAAAAGTCGTATCAGACAAGCGACTGTCAACACTACTGGTAGACATTGAGTTCATACAGGCTTGACCAATTGTCTTCTTAGTTTTGTGCCTAATCAAAATATTCAAAACATAAATATGGCATGGGGCTAATAATGATCTTGTACAAGCATGGTACACTACGATAAAGTCAACGAGCCAAATAAGTTGCATATTAATTGGCTTCACATAATTGCAAATTTTAAGCATTGCAGTTTAGAAACCAAAAACTTAAGTACTTATGCAGTTGTGACCCATATATATATATATATAATCTAAGAAATTATGTCCAACTGGTAATGAGTTTTGTATCATTAATTCTTGGAAAACATCAAGGAACCAAGAAAGTTCCATAACGTGCTTCAAAGTATAGTATTAGCACCCTTAGACTATTGCCTAACGCCCATAGCTTCAAAAACTAATTTGGAGGGTATTGATTGATAGACATGCAGAGGACAAAATCACAACAGGATATAATGATGATCGCAATATTATTTAAACATATCAAGTCGTTTCTTCTTTAAAAAATTTATAAAAAAAATATCAAGTTGATGTGCTGGAGTACAAAACGAAAAGTGATGCAAGTACATACGGAATCTGAGAACCACTGTCATCTTTCCCAGGTGCCAATTGTTTAACCAAGGGGGATAAATCCTTCTGAAGAGGAGACCAAGAAAAGATAGTAAATAACCAAAATTAATAGGGTTAAATTGTCATAACGGAGAATGCCTCATAAAATGATTAGGACAAAGAAACATTACCTGAATATCATCCATGCTGGCACTAACATGGCTGGCATCTAATAAAACCTTAATTTAGCACATACCATTTCATTTAGGATACCAACAAAAAGAATAACCCCTGAAAATAAGGATCACAGAGATCTTAAGATTGTAATTGAAAGGTACCATTACTAGACGAGCTGCCTTCGAACTTTCTACTACCATCCATTGTCCTTCTTCTGAGGAGAAGAGCCATTCATGAGCCCGAGTCTGAAATCAAAAATTTATTTACTTATTATAACAAGAACTAATGGACAAGTTAGGAATACAGAGAAAATAGTTGATGACAGATGCATCAGGAAAAATACAATCCTAAAATGTTATGATTTTCTCATACATTTGAGCCCTCCATGCATATAAATCAAAAACCAAGGGAGCAGAAGAAATAAATAAGAAAATAATAATAATTTGGTTTGTTGACGACTTCTCTTTTTTTTACTTTCTTCCATAAGACAACCATGTCACCTATAAGTAAAAGCGTGTTTCAACCGTAGAACTACACATTTGGCCAAAATATGGTTAAACTCCAAATAGAAATCCCTATGAACAAACAACCATATATGCACATAATGTAATATCCTACAAAATTTAGAGAGAGAGAGAGAGAGAGAGAGATGTTTCCATGGAGGATATTGCTGATGTTGGCAAGATAATAGATCAAATTAGGTTGAACCTGATGTTGAATGGCAAGATGCTACAGCCAATTGAAAGCATGATGCATTTCCAGAATAACAAGCATGCAACTGTAAGCATTAGTATCAACTATGGTTTTATGAGATGAACCAATTTCATAAAAGTCAGCCAATTTCTTTTCTTCTTTTCTTTGGTAGGATATAATTTGACCAGTTATAAGAAATGCTTCAATTTTTTCAATTTCAATCAACATGGATGCAGAAGAGAGCCAAAACATAGTCAAAATAACTCTACTTTGGATCAAAATTTTCATTAGCTTTATGTGTGTGCACACTTACGGTACCATGCAGTGCATTGACCAGAGAAGTTCACTTAGACAAACCTTAGGCACAATAAAAACCCCACAATGATATGCAAATGGACCAGATGATTCCTGCGCATCAAGAACTACAGCTCTGTAACTGAAACGGGAATCACCACCCAAAGTAAGCTGAAAACAATGACCTGGGCAAAGCTTAGTCAAATCCCCTCTAGCTCCAAGTTGCAATTCTTCAAGAGAGTATAATACATCTGAACCAGTGGAGTAATCTCTACGAATTTGATTCTCCTTTTCAACAGCTTCAAGAAGTCCACAAGCCTAAATCGACAACCAGTAGCTTCAGTCAATCTTTTGAGAAACTAGTTTCCCAAGGTCTACGTAACCGAGCTTACATCATACAAGAAAGGTTGTAAAAAGTATGCACTAATAATATTGCAGAGACACAAACCAGCAGCCTACTACTACTAACACCGATAGAGTCCCCAACCTAAACACATGCATAGTGCAGTAGATGTGGGGTTTTATCACAAAAGACTTCAGTGTTCTTAGTAATGGAACCACTCAAATATATATTGCACATTATTTTTTCAATTTCCAAATGTGGTTTTTTTTACATTCTTCAACATGCACTTCCTACTTCCAACATGGTTGAAAGGCTAAACACTAAAAACTATTCCTCCACAATGTTATTCAATTGTAACCTTTTATTGTATAAGAGCTCTAAGTAAATAAGATATATTATTGCTGAAAGAAGGCATTTTGCTTCAACAAAGACATGTACTCCAGATATATCACCTGAGTTCCCTTTAAAGCAAGGGAAGAATCATTGAAAGATGATGTGATCTCCTGCAACACACTGGAAACCTGTTTCTCAGCAACCACCATAAATGCTTGAAGGCTTGGCTTACTAGACGGTTTCTGAGGTATGGCATGAATACCCATTTTCCACCCAAACCGAAACTTAGAGAAAATCAAAGCTGGAATTACAATGACCAAGATAATTACGAGTTAATATTTTTCTTAAATGGAACTAAAGCTGAACAGCAAGCAATAGCAAGTAAAAACAGTACCCAGAACATGTGACTCAGCCAATGTAAGGCAAATAAATTTTCCCCCAGACTTCAAAACTCTTCTCACCTGAAAAATTCAAATCCAATTCCACTGAACAATTAATTCCCACATTCCATTACCACCAAAACATAATTATTCACAACATAAACTTTTGAAGCAAAAAAGAAAAAAAATAAGGACACCTCTGATAAATACTGAGTCCCAAGCTTAGGGCCAAGCTCTGGCTCCATCAAAGCATCCAATCCACCTTTATCAACAACAACATCAAATGCCTCGTCCTCAAACTGTAAATTTCGTAAACATAAGACAAAATTTCTTTTTTTAAAAAACATTTTATGATTGTTCAGTTAAAGAGTTAAAATTGTGGGAAGTATACCTGCATGGCGGTCATGTCCATGACGCGCCAGCGCATATCGGGCCTATGGCGAACATTGCGGCGGAGGCAGTCGGAAATGGCGACCTTGGAGAAGTCAATGTTGGTGATGGAATTGAAACCAGCGTCGTATAGGTGCTCGGAGAGGCGGGAGCTGCCGCAGCCGGGAACGAGAATTTGGGGTTGCGGAGGGAGGTGGGAGAGCAAAGGGTTTCTGAGCTCAGACCACTCGGCGTACCACTCGAAGGCGTCGTCGGTGCCTCGGATGGTGAAGAACTTGTCCCAATTCTCTTTGCTTGTAAAGTCTCCTAGGGTTCCCAGTAGCTCTGCTAGCTGCTCCTCCTTCTTCCCCATTTTGCGGCTTCTCTGCAAGTGTGTTGTCAATGCTGGGTTTATTTGGGGTTTGGCTTTGTCTTTGAGTGAATGTTGCAGTAAAATCGAGTACATAATACGTTCTAAAATACGTACATGTATTTGTCAATTTTCTTTTTTAAAAAAATCATTTAATTATGTTATATGCATTCCTTTTTTCAATAATATTGATAAAATATGTGAATAATACATGTATTTGTCATAAAATATTGTAAAAAAATATGTAATATTCATGAAAAATATGTACATACATGTATAATATGTTCGCATTCAAAAATATATTTTTTATATTTTTTAGAAGTGCATGTGAGATAATAGTATTTTTCAAAGATACATATATATATGTATAATACACGAATTTACTAACTAGTTCCAAAAGATATAAAAATGGGTCGGTTTTTCTGGGTTGAAGTGTGAGACGGTGAGATTTTTTCCTCTACTAGTGCCTTGACCAACCGACCCAACCAAGATGGCTCATCCTCCCCAACCTGGTTTGAAGGGTATTTACGACACAACGCACTAAATTTTCCAATGATTTAATAGTTTATATATTTAGAGGTGATGCAAGTCCGATCGAATTTGGGTTGAGAATAATTTCACACGACAAGTTGCAACCAGCATAGGATTTTTTGTGGTAATGAATTGAGGAACAAAGTAAAAAAAATGACGTAGAAATTAACCAAATTACTTCTTAATGAAGAAGGAGCTTGAACCAACATGAGTTGGTCCAAATGGAAGGGGCTTGGATCCTTTAAACAAGAGGTCCTGGGTTCGATCCCAGGCGCTTGCGAATAGAGCAGACTTTGTTGGGAG